TTCTACTCTCTGAAAACTTAATCTTGATACCATGTACAATAGTGGCTTCAGATAACAAAATCTAAAGGAAGTTGGAAGTGAGTATTGGTTTTCCGACTGATGGTGTTTAATAGTACTGTACATGCTAACCCAAAGCCCCACATTTCCAGTGGTTAGAATCCCCTCTTTCCTCTGAAGGAGGGGAAAAGATGGGCAGTCTCACCTATTAAGATTTACACAGCTTTGAAAACTTGATGATGGGCTGTTAGGATCTGGGACTCTACTTAACGACAGTGAGTTTGAGTTTTGTGGTTTGGTTTTTTAAAAATGAGATCATAGTACTCTTTAGAGCTATGACATTAACAACGGAGTTTCTCACATCATACTCAGCAGCCAGAATGCTCCTTGGAGGCAAAGATAGTTTCACCCACATTGGATAAGTTCTCAGGAGGAACCAACCACTGGAAAAGGTTACTATGCTTGGAAAGGTGGTGGGTCTGCAAAAGGGAGGAAAACTCAAGGAGATGGATCAACATAGGAACTGCAGCAATGGGCTAAAGCACCGAGGAAAATTGTGAGGATGTTGCATGATCAGACATGGTTTTGTTCTGTCAGACAATGAGGGGTCAGGGTGAGTTTGAGGCCATAAAATAGCTTCTAACGACTCTTCCCAACAAAATCAGCATTCAGGATGTCCACTGATTTGAAGGTGGATCAATTAAGGAACAGTTTATCTGAGTTAGGATTTCTACTTTGGCAAGGAGGGTCATCAGTGCCTTCCCTGAAAACTTTTCAGAATAAACAGTATCATTTTCAAGGTGCTTTTTTCTCAAGGTTTTACATATCATTTGGTGACTCTCAGACTTAAATCCTATTGTGAATTTTCCACTGAGTTCCAAACTTAGTATCTAACTTAGAGCTCAACATCTCTATGAGCATGTGCAATAGGCATCTCAACCTTAGGCTGTAAGATCACTAAGTAATCTTAGTAAGAACTCCAAGCCTCATTTTTACCCCAGAGTGACTTTTTTTTTTTTTTAAGCAAGAGTCAACCACTATCTGGTTGCTCAAGTGGAAAACAAAATGAAACAATTTTGTCATCTTTTTTTTTCTTGCCGGAATAGAAGGCCTCTGAAAACCCTGTGTACAACAGAACACACGTAGAATGACAGAAAGGGTAGATGGTGAGATTGGCACAGGACAGAGCAGAGTTTAGGGCTGTTGTACGTAAGGTCGCTATGAGTCACAAGCAACTTGACAGCACATAACAACAACAAGATGAAGCAATTCATAAGCAGATCTTGTTGGTTCTACTTCAAAATATATCCAGAATTTTACCAATTCGCAACACTTTCACTGTTAAAATTTTATTCCAAAGCTACCATAATTTAGTCCCTCGACTGAAAAATTTATCCCTGGATTGGGAAAAAAACAAAACAAAACCCCAACACACCAAAAACCTATCCATTGCAAGCAGTTCCTTCTTAAAGTCGTGCCCAATTCAAAATTATTTAACGATTTATCATCTTACATAAAAATCCCATCTCTTTCTCTGTTTTAACCAGTATCCTGCCTATCTCATGAATCTCGTGTCCCACTACTTTCTCCCCCAGACTGAATAACGTTGTTTCTTCCAATAATATCAGTCAAAATTGAACCTCAGAATGACCTTTGTAGCTTTTTCTCTCGCAGGCGACTCGAAGGCACATAACAACAACCTGTACTTTAAGGTCAGATTCTTCCAAGACTTGCTCCTTTTCTCAAGCTGAATATCAAATCCAGACCATCTTACCTGAAACAGTACCATTTATCTTTTCCCTATTTACATGGTTTTGAATCCACCAACTGTTCTGAGGGGGGATAACCAAACTTCTCCCTTGCGATTTACAGTCTCTGAAAACCTGCTAGGGGATCAGCCATGGGTCAGTTCCACTCGATGGTAACTCAACACAACGTTATTTAGCGGCTGTTTGCTTTTCTAATTATAAAGCTCCATTTTTGTTGTCAACTTTTTTTTTTCCTTTTCTTTTCTTTATT